CGCTCTTACCAACTGAGCTACAGATCGAGTCAGCAAATCTTACGAATTTCTGTGTGTGATTGCTGTAGATTTTTGTATTGGGTTTAAACGGCTTTCTTAGCGTGGCGCTACCAGTGACTTTACATTATAATTTCGGCCTTTCTTCTTCTTATCGTTTTGATTACATATACCATAGGAATTGCTAATCAGCGTACGGTACTCGGTACCTCTAATGACCACTACTGCAACTTAATTTTTGGACCTTCTGTTTTCATTTTGTTTTTTTTGTTTCTTTATTTTTTGTCACAGTTTCTTTTTTGGCACTTTTTTTTTAATTTTGTTTTTTGTTTCTTTTTTTTTATTCATAAAATTTGGGGAGCATAATATTAGTAAATAAATATCACTGTTTACAAAAATAACAGAAAATAACCAAAAAATAAAGTTGACGCATACCGTTCCCTGGAGGTATCGTACAGGAAAGGAATGGTACGCACACCCCTTCGGCCCTCATTTCAACAATTGGAAAGCGGGTTTTGAATCGGCTCTTAAACTTTAATCTAATACGCTGCGAACCACTTGTGCTATTCTTTTGTTGCTTTCCACTGCACTCTATGTTCTTATTAATTGCGTTATAGCAATATTTTTGCAGCAATAAAGCTGCTTGTGATAGAGTTTGTCCAGAGATGCATTGCCAACTTATCTATTTCTGTGCCCACTCAGTAATGGGATTTGTCAACTTAAGTCTCATGGTGACGGGTGAAGTAACAGAGCCTTTGAAGTCTTTGCAATTTAAAGTACTGCAATTATCGTGGGTAGGCGTGTTCATTTATCACAGGCGCACGACTTATTCATCCCGCTACTTGATATCATAAAAAAAAATGTTGTATTCATTTTAAGGCTGGAATTATTGTATAGAAAGTATTTTCTATCATGTAGGCGTATCGTTTACGATCATGCGCACGTTTATTTGTAAGTCAATGTGCGCACGACATATTTTTTTCGTTACTTGACATCATAAAAATGGACCGGACTTGTATAAAAAATTGTTCTTCGTACTAAATTCGCTTTATTTTCGTACAAATCACATGCATCGCTGATCTACGTGTCAGAGTGAGCGAAACTGCGATATAATAAAATTGCAATCATAACAAGAATTTGTATTTCAAACGTATATTCAGTAGACAATCAAATTTCCAAATAAAAAATATCAGACAACGTATAATTTTCAACTAAAATCTACTGATCCAGCCGCGGGTAGCGGTACCTGGTAGGCTGCGACAAAAAGTCGTTATGAAAAGATCTGCAACAATCAAATAGAAAAATTCGTGAGGTCTGCTAGTTGTTCTGTAACCCTGCTGGGAGAGCGTCAGGCACGGTATGCTGAAGGCGCTGGTACAAATCCAGCCGGATCGAAGGTATTTTTCTTAGTGGATTGATTTCACAAAAAAAAATATTGAATATCGCCTTAGAAGAGACCAGTGTCTAGCAGTAGGACGTTTAAATGGGTTATAATGATAATGATGGTAAAACTTCTTGCTATTCAATTAAACTTAATATTACAAAATCTGATGTTCAGTACAGCCGACAGTCGAATCCTATCATAATTATGCATTAGATAACATGTCGTGTAGGCATCATAACGTAGAATTATTATAGTCAGATCGAATCTTAAAAACGTTCGAAAGGGACCGAAAGCGTTTCAATGTGTGATATCTTGCGCCTCCTAATTATACTGCGCGCGGCAAATAGGCAGGCAGGTGTAGATATTTTGGAACTTATTGTTACACGTTCCACGTACATCCCTATATAGCTAAATTGAGAAAAAGGAATCAATTAGTTAGCTTATTTACAAATTTACACATTATTAGCTCAGGTACATACCATATGGCAATAAAAGTTTATAATAAAATACCTCTCACAATAAAAAATATAGAAAAGGAACATGTGTTCACAAATAAATTGAACTGATTTTATAATTTACAGGAGCTTTTTGATTATACATAGATAAATATAAAAACAGATATTGATAATACCTAGACAATAATAATAGATAATGATAATAGATAATAACAATAAGTAATGACAATAAATAATGACAATAGATAATGATCATAGATAATAGATAATGATCATAGATAATAAATAACGATCATAAATAATTGATAATGATCATAGATAATAATAATAGATAATTAAAATAGATAATGTTGTACTTAGTAAAGTAAGTTAATTAGCGGTACCCTACAGGGTTTATATTCGATCTTTAAATAACTTTAAGATATTTTTCTGTACCACATAATGCAATAAATGATATGACTATACCAGCACAGAAACCAATTATTACCAAAGTCGTTGAGCAGGAGCAGATATCAAAATAAGGGCAAGCTTTTTTAAACCGAATTCAAAAAGGGAGGTTCTCAATTCGATTTTTTTTGTTTGTGTATGTTACGCGATCACTCCGGCATTTGTGAATCGATTTTGATGATTCTTTTTTGATGGAAAAAAGGTACCTCAGTATAGGTCCCATCTAAATTTGAAAAAAATATTCATTATTGGTTTATTAGAATTCACCCACTTTCTGTTAAATGTTTTCGATAAAACTTGGCAAATTTATATAATTTCATAAACTTTTTAAATTAGTTTATTACATAAGGCGCACTATGAGTTTCCAGACCTGGCCACTTACATAAACAATATTTAAAAAGTAATTACAACATTTGAAAATGGAACTCTTTGGCTGTAGTGTAGGCAGTTTGTTTCATCTGACTATAACTTGTTTTTACATTGTGGCGTCATTTTAGAAATTGGTTGTCTACATCACCATGGATTTAACTCGTGAAAATTTTAGTAGTATGATTTTCTACGACTTTAAGTGTAATTAAACAGTTCAGTGGAGCTTTGCTCGGATTCAAACTACTTTTGGCGATGAAGCACCATGTAAGACGACTATTTATAGATGGTTTGCAAAATTCAAACGCGGTCGTGTGAATCTCAGTGACGAATTTCGTGATGGTCGCCCGTCTACTGCTGTGAACAATAAAAACGTCGATGCTGTGCGCCGTATGATCAAAATAGACAGGCATGTGACATACCACGAGATTCGGCCATCATTAGGCATAGGCATGAGTAAAATACAATCAATACTACACAAACAATTGAGTGTGAAAAAGTTGTGCCCTCGGTGGATCCCACACAATTTGACTGAGGCTCGAAAAACGGATCGCGTCACTTGGTGCAATGCCATGCTTACCAGATTCAACGAAGAGGCGTCAAATTTGGTGTGGGACATAGTAACAGTTGACGAAATATGGATTTAAAGTTACGATCCCAAAACAAAACAGCAATCGAGCGTATGGGTCTTTCGAGATGAGCAGAAACCAACCAAAGTGGCGCGCGTGCAAAATGCCTCTAAGCGGATGATTGCTTCTTTTTTTAATAAAACTGAACACGTGGCTACTGTTGCTTTGGAGAATCGTTGTACCGTAGTACATGACGAAGATATTGACAAACTCCGTAAAAATAATCGTAAACGCCGTATCATCTTGCACCACGATAATGTCAGTTCTCACACAACCAGACAGACAAATGAATTTTTGAAGATGAACAACATTGACTTTATGGGCCTTCCCGCGTACAGTGCCGACCTGGCAGATTGTGACTTCTATTTATTTCCAAAAATTAAGAACCAGTTACGCGGTCAACGATTTTCATCACCTGAAGAGGCTGTCGAAGAGTATGAAAAATATGTTTCAAAGATTGTCACGGAGGAGTGGCATGAATGTTTTCAAAATTGGTTCATTCGTATGAAAAAGTGCATTAATGCTAACGGAGAATATTTTGAGAAACAATAAATTCATTTCTGACCATTTATGGTATTTTTCCTTATTCATTTCGGAAACTTATAGTGCGCCTCACGTATTTTTATAAAAAAGGTATAATTATATTTAGAGAGAAGTGCGCATTTGACCTTCTCATCTGATGGAAAATGACAATGAGGTCGACGATGGTCTAAAGATACCTCTTTAAACTGACTTTAAAATGCCCAAGTTATAGCGATCAGGGAATAAGTCTGCAGGCAGGGCATTCTACTCTATAACCATACGCTATATAAATGTGGAAGCGCTAGGCTTCGTGCGAATCTTTTTAATATCTTCACCATATTGATAGTTATTACGTATTTCGTCTTTCCGCTTTAGTGGATGAAATCTATTATCTCCATCCTCCTCTGTCCAACGTGGAGCAGAAAGATACTGTTCTTGGTCAATCAAGCCAGTAGCAGTAGTATTTTGTAATTTTGGCTAAGCTAAGTTAGTAAACAAGTTTTTAATGATACCTAGTGACAGGACGAACAAATCGTCCGCCTGGTGGTAAGTGACACGCCTGTCCATAACAGTTGCAGTGCCACTCAGGGCTTTAAATGAAGATCTGAAGGACACTGCCACGGCACACGTCACTCTGAGGCATAATTTAAAAAGTCCCCATGGGCCAATTATTTCACCAGCATTCTTACCCTTCAAAACCGAAATTATTTAGTTCCATCTCCTCTACGTTTAGTAGATTTTGTTCCATTTTGCATTTTCTTGGCTGTCACAGTAGAGGTAAATCCAGAAGATAGACAGCAACGACTTATTGCGTATTCGGTGTTAGCTTTTCTGCTACCAAGTAAGTTTTATGGTAGTCACATTAACAAATATTGGTTTTATATTTTATAAAATGGATTATATCATTATTATTGATGTAAAGATCGAACAACACAAAGAAAAAAAAA